AACAGAATTTTTTTATAGCACAGAAAACGGGGTGGCGGCGCTCCGGCGAGTCGGCGGCGGCGGGCGGCTGCGGCGGGCTGGGGCGGCGCTAGGGTTAGGTTTAGGCGGCGGCGGCTGGGCTCTCCTCGGGCCGGCTCGGGCGCTATTTAAAGGCGCCCCGGGCGGAGGTTTCCTGGCCGGGTATGGCCCGGAGTCGGTTACGCATTTTTTTTAAATCCGCTCGGAAGAAAAAAAATAAAAAGAAATACTAAATGGACTCCAAAAATCATGAAATAAATTTTTCCGGGTTCCTAAAATCAAGCCCGATAAGGTGAATATTTATCTGGGGCCAAACTACAACTTTGAAAACGCGCATTTTCTAAATTCAAATAAAAATAACGAAAAACTCCGAAATAAATCTTATTTGATTTTTTTTATTAAATCTTCAATATTTCTATATTTTGGGAAAGTCATTTTATTCCCTCTCTCAAATTTTTGTAATAGAAATAATTGATGATAAAATAAATAAAATCAAATGATCCTGTTTACATAATTTGAGAAAACTCAAATACGTAAATAACGAAATCCCCAACTCTCTCCGTGGGTCCTTGAGTTGCTTAGGATTTTTCTAAGATCAAAACCAAAAGCAAAATAAAATATGTTATGCATGATGACCTAATGTATAACATTCCAAATTGAAAATTTGGGATGTTACAGTAGCAAAAGGGTCAGATCTCGAAATTTTATCAGACTAGGGTCAGATCTTGAATAGATATCATAAAAGGGTCAAAACACGAAATTTAGCCCCCAACGGCTATCTCTAGGAAAAAGAGTGAGACTGCCATGCACTACGTTTGGCGATTACCGCCCAAACCCCGTTCACACCTCACTCTCTCACTGCCGCTTCGGTTTCACTGTTAGCCGCTCCACCACCTTGTCGCCCCAATCCTCGGGGTAGGCATGGACTCCGTTCAGTTGGGGCGCCTTTGGCTGCCTGCATTGATTTTGACATGTTTGCATAGACTTCTCAGTTGGGCCTGGCTGAAGAAGAAAAAAACAGCCTATAGACCACCAATTGCACATTGTTTGGTTGATCGTATATAGGTTAGATGCATGAGGAAATTAATTTTGACCCGATGTTTGGTTGGCCGCATAGCATTAGGCGCACACAGGACACGTTGTTTGGTTGCAACCTGAATTAGGTGTTGTCACCACTTCTCACTAGTGGTGACCTTATCACACACAATCTTAACAGCTTCACTTCTAGCTACGAAACAAATTACGGTTCATCCGCTGCTATCAAATGACAGTACACATTATTAAGAGCCAAATGGCTGAATGGGGAAAGTTCATCATCCCTCCTCTTCTTCTTCTTGAAGGGTGGAAGAACACCTGACCGACATGCATAGCCAACATCTCCTAGGTAGAACTTGCCATCAGGGATGTTGATGCCATCAGGGCGACTCATGCTATCACTGAGTATGTTAGCATCATGTGCTGACCCTTCCCAGCCAGCCATCACATAAGTGAACTTCAGATCAAAGTCAACATCAGCAAGCACATTCTGCCTTGTGTAGTGCTTCCTCCTCCTGTATGCTGCAGCTTGTGACCTCGGCACTCTGGCAGTGACATGAGTATCATCTATTGCCCCAATGCAGTCCTGAAATGGCAATACAAGATTGTGTTAGTGCTCACCTTGAACAATCCAAGCATATCAAGCAATGAACTACATACTGCAGTGCTCACCTTGAAGTATGGATACCATCTTGGGCTAGTGTGAATCTTGGTAGGAGTCCGTCCAGTTGATGACTTGGTCATCTCTCCTCTGAGCTCCCCAACAGCATACAACACTTGCTTGAAGTACCTTGAGATGGTCGCCATTGATCCCCTGAACATGTTGTGGATAACCCTGAACCTCTGGTTATGGCCAACAACATGAAGGAACATGGCGACTTGCTCTTCCACACTAGTGTGGACGCTATCTTCTAGCAGCCCCCTACCCCTGAAGGTCTGGACAAGTCTCGCAAATGGTGCTCTTTTCATTCTATGTATCCATAGAGCCTTTGTGTTGTTGTAGTTGTATATGTAGTTCAGATTGGTGATCCTCTCCTGCTCCCGCATAAGCATTGGAGCATATCTGATGATAGGTCTCTCATCACGACGAACAACTCTCTTGTGCATGAACATGACGCATGCCTGAATCACAGCTATCAGTGCTCCTGTCTGAACTACTAGCCGCATCTGTGCGTCCATAACCTAGTCCACATCGAGGTTGCGTTGAGCAATGGGGAAATTGAACGTACACCTTGCCTGACGGCCTAACAACGTACCTAACATAGGGGAGAGGGGATGTTGCTTATCGGCATCGGAGACGAGGACGGCGAAGGGTGGGGCATGGCTGAGTCAAGGACGACCAGATGGTGGCCAAATGGAAGAGCAGCAGCTCCTACTGCCAGATCTACCGTCGCCGCCTGCATAGATCTGAGTCGCCGCC